ACCTTTTAAAATAATTGGTGACCTGCAACCTGATCCTATTGAATTAACCTGCTTCCTAAAAACCTTTTAAATTGGTGACCTGCAACCTGATCCTATTGAATTAACCTTCTAAAATAATTGGTGACCTGCAACCTGATCCTATTGAATTAACCTTCTAAAATAATTGGTGACCTGCAACCTGATCCTGTTGAATTAACTTTTATACATATTACTTCAAAATGACCACAGATTTTTTTTTCTTTATACAAAAAAATCTACATTATGTCAAAATCTGTTCTAGATTTATCTATGTATAAAATTCTGTGATTTCCGTTAGTTTGTCCGTCTGTCACACCCTCTATACTAGACATATATTGACTGATCAAAACCAAATTTTGCGGTGAAGTGCAAACAGGTAAGGGGGTACAAAGTACAGTTGGTGTTACGAGGGTGTGTAGTTTAGTACAATAAATTTTCATTACTTTTTTTGAAAAATTAAAAGTTTTATTATTTAACATACAAAATACTCCCTCTGTTTTAAAACCAATTTAATGATTAAAATAACAAATACTTATTTAATAAAAATGAAATTTTTTTTTTACATAGTTTTTATATTTCGATGAATCCAGTTTCCAGTCTGCCCTGTGTTTGCTATAATACTGCTGATACATATGCATATATGCAATCAATATAAACATAATCTTGCATATTAAAAATTTACATTCGCAAAAGAAGGAAACTTTATCAACACACACAGATACAAATGAAAAACTATTTGAAATTTGAATTGTTAAATAAATTGATATTTTCATGTCATTTTGATATTTGTAATGATACCATTTTATTAATGAACATTTTTAAAATTAAATTATAAATAAGGTTGTTAAATTTGTAGAACTGTTTTATCTTTCATTTATCAACAACTTTATTCTTCTATAACGAATGCCGGTTCCGTCTACATAATTGATGAGTTATTGTTGAGGCTCTATATTCCCCAAGGAATCAAGAGGCATGATAAAAAAATAAAAATAACACTACAGTATTAATTTCTTTAGTTAAAATTATATCATACTACATATTTAATTTTAGAGTTAGTAATGACTATTGCACATGTGTTACTTGAATACTGTCATGCCCCTCATGAACATTTTTTTTGGCAAACTCATGTGGCAATTTTTTGATAGGAAAGTGTAAGCTGCTTGTGTGAGTGGCAGACTGGCCCATTGGGATACTAGGAAATTTCACAGTGGGTCCGAAAGTGATAATCCATTACTTTAGAGATAACCAAAAAAAAGTAAAAACTAAAAGAAAAATGTGTAGATGCTGGGAAGATTTAAATAACACTTCTTTGATGCAATAATTTCTTTCGGTAAATAACAGATATCCTCGGTTCCTTGTTTGATGAAAGTTATTTTCATTTTTAAGGATATTTTTTAATTTTGTTTTGGTTAGTTTTGGTTAATTAGTTAGTTTTGAATAGTTCACACTTCAGTTCTGCGCAAGATTCCACCAAGTCAGACTAGTTCATTTAGAGCTGACCAACTAATCAGTGGGTCCTTTTGACTGAGCCCTTTTACAAGTTTTCCCAGTAAAAATTTTTATGGTTTTGTGAATTTATCTATGTTACTGGTTGCTATGTGCCATTTTCTTGTTTGACAGATACTTTGCAGCCCATAATCAATTCAGGAAGGTCTTTTGCATTTCTGTTGTAATGCTACTGTTATTTCCTGCTTTTGTCATTCATTTGTTCCCAGACATGATTGTCTTTTAGAATGTCAGTGTTCAATAAAGTTGGAATCCTTGTTCTTATTTTTATATTGTATAGTATCTCTGCTGGTTATGGTGTTGCAGAATTTATGCTAAGTAAAATGTGTCAGAAGGTGAAATTGTGTGAAGGCCTAAAATGTGCGCGTACATCATGCATTTATCCACAACAAATAAATTAAACAAACATATGAAGACAATACAACTTGAAGAAATCAAGGAAAAATCAACGTAGTTATAGATTTCAACAATGACATGAATTTATATATATATTTGACATACACAAAGTGATGATAGATTGTTTGTTAAATGTGGCAAGTGAGATAAGATTGCAAAGAGTGTCCATCCAGAGATTTTGTGAGTGAATGTTGATGGTTTAAGTTTGTTTGTGAAATTAAAACAGTTCCATTTCTGCAAGGTAAAATGTCAATTGTGAGAGTTCAAATAATAGTGTATATGTGTGTGACAATTGTAAGTGTTGATTCAAGTTATGAAGAGTTGTGTGCCTTTGATATGCTAAAATTGATTAAATGTACAATTACTATTTCCTAGTGATAATGTCACTTTTTAGTAAATTGTAAGTTAAGTTTCTTCATGCGGCAATAGTAGTGCGAGTTGTGTTGAGTTGATGAGATGCTGGTAGTGTTATTGAGTCAGTGTGTTGGCACGTGTGGAGTCTGCTGGCATCTCTTGAAACTCAGTGTCTGACTGACTTGAATTAAGTTGAGCGATTCTTTTTTTATAGATTTTTGGTGTTTCAAATAGGCTCCAGACAGCTGCATGGGAAAAAAGGATTTGTGTCAACTTGCTACATTTTTGTGTCCTTTTAACCAATGAGAAGTTGAGTTTGGAAAACTGAAGTGATGATTGGTTAAAGGTTAATTTGGGGAAGAGTGCATCTTCCTGTAAGGGGTGACAGGCAAGTATGGAGGATTCCATAATGGTATAGGAATTAAATCCTATATATATATTTTTCAACCAATAGAACTCCATCAGAAGGTTTGTTCGATAAACAATCATTACAAGGGCAAATATTGCCAAAATACTTGTGGATGTTGTTGTAGATATTTATTATTTTTGGACCATTTAGAAAATAACAATAACTCCCTTCAACACTCCTGCAAAGCCAAGTAGAAGATTTTTGTGAGCCAATGTGAAATTATTTTCTAACTAATGAAAACCTTGTATTCAAATAGTTCACCTTTCTATGTAAAATTAGATTTTGAATCCTCTTACAGATATAAAAATAGAAGCTTACTGCTTCTCAAGATTCAAAACAATTATGGAGGCCAGTTTGATCTACGCATACATACACACACATGCACCCACACACATGCACCCAATGGAAGAGAAACAGCCAGCAGCCACAGACTAAAGTTTTGTTCATGCATACAATAGATGGAAATAATCTGCAGCTGCCTACTAAGCTTTTGTATACAAATCATAAAGACATTAGACTAATCATCATAATGTAAATCTGTTCACATATTCTATGTAGCACTAATAACACTTAATTACTTTATAAAAACAAACTTCATTGCAAGGAAAATTGAACATTTTATTGTATTTTCCTGAAAAGAATGTATAAATTTTATTTCAACTGACATTTTGCTTCTACTTTTCTTTCGGAAAATAACCTTTTACATGTTTTATTTAAAAGATGTGTTGTTGTTGCTAAATGTTTGGAATCCTGACATTCAGCAACAAAAACCTGGATAGATGAATCCCAACACATTTAATATGAACAATAAACAACCTGTTGGAGAAACATTGACAAGTGATGTTGCCATCTGCTGCTTTATGCATTTCCCTGTGATTTAAAGGTTGTTTGAAAGAGTTAACCTTAGCACATTTTATGTACCTTTCAAAACACAGGATTCTTATCGCTCTCCCGTGAATGATGTGAGGAATGATTACAACTAACTGTTATTTTGGTAAACATACATAATAGCTTTTTGGTGGGAAAGTGAGAACTGCTGCAGATATTTGTGTACCTATAAACATATAGAAAGCAAACCTAAACCAAAAAATTCTTCCATTATAGTTCAACTAAAGATGAAATGCATGTGCGGGTAATGTAGTGGTTATTAGCATGGAGATTTATTGAAATTTAAAATAATCAATCAGAAGAATAAGACTAATCTTTAAAACAAAGATGCTGAATGGCTAAATAAAGGACCAATTACTGTCCTTGTAAGTGTCATATGGCCTTGACTATATATATGCCAAATTCAAAAACCCATCCTCTTTTTCTTCCATCATATTAATCAGGCAGCCCGAGGTAAAGCTGTTCTTTCTCCACAAATCCAATTAATGGTATCTAGTTACAAAAGAATGGGTCCAGCGACCTCAAGTGAAATTACTACAACCTAAAGAAGCCAACTGAGGACTAAAAGGGACTTCACCTTCAACTAAGACTGCTGACAAAATAACTGGACATCTTTCACTTAAGCTAAGTCTGCAGATGCACATTGTCTGCAACCACTTTACTTCCTTATTTACCTTTTCCCTATCTGTATATTAAATATATTTAAATAGTATAGGTTGTTGTGTTTCTTTCTCCTCAAAAGCTGTTGACCAGTTCATTTGAGAACCCAAGGGCTTACTCTCCATAAACTTTGGGTTGTATGTTGGTATATTATCATGGATTTAATCGCCATAAAGTGGAGCAGGAAAGCCAATTTCAAATTCCAGCCTGACCTGTTGCATTAACTTTCACACAAATGCTTTTAGGAAAGGCCTGAATTCATCTCTTCTCCACTTTGTTATGGATTAAATAACAGGTTATGGTCTTAAATATAGGTGGCAACAAATCTATGTAAAGGAAAAAAATCTCTGAATTCCAAACTATAGTAAAAGCAATTAGATACCACTCCACTATCTTTCCCAGGATAGTACAGCAAATCAAAAATATAAAGAAAAAGAATCTGTGGAGAATTATTGTTGCCCACGTCTATGATAGGCATGGTGTTGTTAAAAACAAAAGGAAAAAGATAACACACTTTATAATTAATAATGATGAATTCATTTTTTTTATGAGACTGAGCCCAAATGTCTGATTTTTATAACGTTTAAGTAATATAGGAATCAAAGTAAGAAAGAAATTATTGATTAAATTGAAAAAACCCCAAAAGGGAGGGATTAAACATTGTCAGTTGTTTCGAGATGTATTCAATTTGTAGACTGTTTTTACCTCCTGTGTGCTGAGAGCTCGTAGCCAAGGGAGGTAACGCGGAGCTCTGCACGCGGTGCTCGCTATGGCGGACCCTCACCACGGCAGCAGACCGACCACAACAACAACGCCGAGCTATGCCTCGGCCACAAATGAAATAACTCACTACCTCAATGTAGAAAATGCAAAAATAGTTGCCTTTGTTATGGTTGTGGGCTTTATTGCCTATCACGGGATAATACACCTGAAATACGGTTGGTTTCATTTTTGCATGTGTTTTTTTTTTCTTTCGTGTTGTATTGTTGATGGTTTATGGATGTTGCTGCTCGATAGGTTTTTCTGTTTCTTGTGATAATCTACGTTTATTTTGTGTTTTCTGTGTCAAATTATTCCAAGAAAAAAATAATTCTTCCTTCTAGTTTAAAGTTAATTATTTTTTTTCCTTTAGAATTCTCATAGAGTTTTTTTTTTTATGTTGAACTTATCAATTTTTTTATTTATTTTTAGGAGGTAAATTAGGTATGAGTCCGATGTTGAAGGATTTTTAAAAAGGAAAATAAAATTTGATATAATTGTATTCCCTATTTTATTTGAATTAATAAATTCCGATAAAATAAATAAAGGATGTTTTTAATATCATTCTTTGAGTAGTTTGTTCAAAGATTTTTTTTATTATTTGCGATTTTTATACCTTTCGAGGCGGGGAGACCTCAGATTTTTTTTTTTTAACTTTTTTAGTTTTCAACAACGAATCTATTTTAAAATTTAAGTAATTTTGATAACTTCAAAAAACTCTAGAAAATATCTTTAATGTTTCAACCTCTTCTCTGCAAAAGAACGAATGTTGATGTTCAGTAATTAAAAAAAATCGTTTCTCTTTTCCCGTTTTTGTATATAAAAAAAAAAATCTAAAAAAAAAAAAGAAAGCTCGATTTAAATAGTTTTACATTGTTTATTTAATTTAATTTCTAGTTTTAACAAAAAAACAAACAAACATATTTACATTAAAATCCAACGATCTTTAATAAGTCTAACATTGTGTTATGCATTGCTGGTTATAAATTGGGGGATCAATTTTTTATTTGTCTTCATTATAAATTGAACCCCCATATCATTTATCACTGTGAAATGATTTTCTTTCATGCTTTTTCCTCGTTTTCTGTCGCATTCACATCGAATCTGATGTTAGATTCAGTTGTGCCTCATTGTTTTCTTATCTTAACCTTGCCACTTTATTTCTAATTCTCAACCCTTTTATTTAATCTTTACAACTTTTTACGTTTTCTGTTTTAATCGGACTTTGCGTAATTCGTTTGCAAACGGAGAAAACGTTTCATTTTTTTTTTTTTTTTTTTTTTCACTACGGATGGCCAATAGCGTTAAAAAGTAACCTTTCCTATTATTGGATTTTCATCGGTTATGAATATGATCCTTTGCATATGTAACTTTTTACGTAAGATAATTAAATTGCACTATTGTCATTTTCTAATTTAGAAAAAAATATACGATTCTCCCCACTGCAAATGATTACGAATTTATTAGTTTTTGCTGCATTAAAAACTGAAAAGAAATTAAAATAAATCATAATTAACTTCTTGCGCGGCAAATATCATATAAAATTGAAAACTTTTGTGTTCGCAAACCCCTTTAGTACTGGCTAGGATGTTTATTTAAAAATGAAAAATCAATAAACCTGCGTTTGCACTTTTCAAAAATCGGAAAATTTGGTCAAGCAGCAATGAAACGAAAAAAAAAAAGAGGGGAAAAAACGTCTGTAAAAGTAAAAGTAATGAGTAAAAAAAATCAATGAGTAATGATTTTTAAATTTTAATAATATTGAGCTGGAAAAGTAACATTAACAATGTTTTAATTTGAATTGATAAAATTATTAACTCCACTCGGAAGTCACCGTAGCTTAATTGATAAAACAGCTGTCGTATTAAGGAATAAAGGAACTTGAGTTCAAGGTTTTGTTTTTATTTTTCATCCGCGCCACTTACTGACGATTGTAGAGAGGTTTTTATGTCTGTTTTTGCTCTGTCTTATTAATACCCCTAGGCATAGAGCACTGTTAGTTGCTGCTTAGGTAGGAGTCTTCCTTTTGTTTTGTGTTTAATGGGGGGGGGCGCTCGTTCTCTCTCGATAAATCTGAACCCAAATTGATGCTGGATGAACTTTCCATTTTCTTATCCTGAAATTGCAACAAGCATGCCCGCTTTTGTGCAGACAAATATTGTAAATATTAAAATATTGTATTAAAAAAAGAAATTTGTGTGAAGAGGTTATATTTATGCACTAGAAAATTGTGAATTTGTTGACGTCTTTTGAGGTCTAGCATCTTGAATCCAGGTAAAAAAAATAAGTCACACGACAAGGTTATCGTCTTATCCCAAAAATGGACAACCATAAATTAATTGTGACTTTTTTTCTTTGACTTTATTGCTGGCCACAAGCATTTATCTCCAATATTTTTTTGAATTGGGTGTGCCGAGAGACCCCCTTTCTGTCTTCTGTCAGTATGGCTGATGCTAACATTTTTAGCTAATACGAAGTGGAAAAGTTATATTGAGTCCATTGCTAGGTCTGCTGTTAAGAAAGTTGGTTCACTGTGTTGTGCTAGACAATGTTTCTTTCCAGAATTTATCTTGCATATCTATAAGTTTACCATTTTGTCCATGCTTAGAATATAGCTGCTATATATGGTCTGGTGCTCTTGCTATATATCTAGAGATTCTTGATAAAATCTAAAGATAAGAATTCGCAATATTACTGGTCTTGAACTGGCGTCTTGGCTTCAGTTACCTTCTTATCAATGTAAAGTTGCTTCTCTGTGGTCTTTCTATAAATACCTTCATGGTAATTGTTTGGATGAGCTCTTTGCCATGGCACTTACACTATGAATTTAAGCATAGTAGATTAGCAACAAGGTCTCCTCAATTTACAGTGGAAATGGCTAGATGTAACTGTAAGTTCTATGCTAACAGCTTCTTTTCTCACACTTCTTGTTTGTGGAACACTTTTCCAGCTCCATGCTTTCCAACCAACTTTAATCTTCCAAAATTTAAATGCAATGTAATTCGTTATCTATTGTCGTCCTGATTACTCTTCTATTGTTCTCACTACTTAATAATGTTTCTGTTTTACAATTCTTTCACACACAGTAACCCCTTATATCTCAGTGGCTTTTACTGCCTTGCTTGGGAGGGTGGGATGATTAAAAAATAAAAATGTTGCATGGTGATCTTTTTTGTGTAGAACTATAGAATACCATGGTATGTTGTGTTAAGTGTTTACTTATCTTTAATGGGACAATTGTTTGCTTTGATAGATTCTTCCTTAATATGAAAGCCTCACATATACAGGCTTAAAAAAAATAATCTAATTAAGTATACACTCAGGATGTTTCTGATGATGGCTCTCAACAACTTCCTATCCTTTGTTGTGCTAAGCAGTTTTTTCTTTTCTTTTTTTTAACCATCTCTCCCATTCCCTGTTCTGTCATCCATTTACACAAGATCGATATGCCGGGTCCCTTCAGGACGTGAGTGATGATGGCTCTCCACAACTTCCTATCCTTTGTATCTCTTAGTAAGTTTTGTCTTTTCACCATCACTCCCATTCCCTGTTCTCTCATCCATTTACACAAGCTTGTTAGGTAGGTTACTTGCTGTTACCCTTGCCTTTGATATACCCTGTGAGTGTCAAATTTTCTAAGTTGTTTTTCCTCATTATGTGTCTTAGAATTTTCAACTGTCCCTTTGTAAGTGGCCTTTTTGTTTCCCTGAAACTTTCTCATTGCTTACATGCTTTGTCCATGATATTCTCAGCATCCTTCTGTAGGACCGCATCCCTGTTGTCTCAAATCTCCTATTGATGTGAGAAAATTGTCAAGCATTCACTGCTATATAAGAGAATTGTTGCTACATAGCTGTTCAGCACTCTTTTCTTCCATTACTTTTAGTTTTTAGAAAGCATCTTTTTCTATTTCAATGTGTCTTTGGATTTCGGTGTCACATTTTCAGTGATCTGTTAAAACACTCCCCAAATGTTTTCAATTTCTATACTTGTTTCATTTTCTCCATTTCATTGCTCCCATCTTGAGCTGTTCCCCTTGCTGATAACCATACATCGTTTTCTTACAATAAGTTCACAATTTGATTGTATTTTTTAGTGCCCAGGAAACAGATACTTTAAGTTCACAATAGCTTACTCTAAAGCAGTGTTTTTCAAACATTTTTTTTACTGCCACTCACAGCTAGAACTACAATTTGCCTTATGACCCATTATACCTACGTGTAATAAATCCAAGACAAACTCTGTTCACTAGGTTCATTTATTTAACATCGACAATTTATATTTCTTATGGTTGGCACATACTAGAATTGCATGTATCTATTTGTTTTATCTATTTCTCTGAATATAAAATTATTACTTTTAGAAAAACAAGTTTAAAGGAGATTCTGACACAAAGATAATGTAAATATTAAACTATTACTTTTCAAATTTTGCCGAAACAAGAGCCAACTTACCAAAAATTCCAAGACTTCAAATGAATACAACATATCATCTTACTACCACAGAAAGAATGTACCAGTATTTGACATTGACATTGAGTCAGGAAATTCACTTTTAGCCCTGACATCAAATGCAACTGAATTATTCAACAGTCATAACGGCTTTCACTGGCCATGAAGATGAACGCACTGCACACCTTTTGTAGCTTTATGATATAATATCTCTTTGTGAGAGAGAACTTATGTCACTTGGTCCACAACAAGTTTTACAAACAAGATACATAAACTCAATGAGAACAGACTATATATATATATATATATATATTATAAATTAATTGATTTAAAATGTTTTTTTCCGCTACACAGTTCTAACCATGTTTCAAAAATGGAAGCTAAAAGCCCCAAATTTAATTTTGTAATTAAATTAAAGACATTAGTTCCATTTCATCCTCAAGCGAATTTTGGAGTAACTTTTAAGATTACTGGGTTTTAAAGACACAGCTACAATCATAATTCATGTTTCCAAGGTTACAGATGAATCCAGTTTACTAGACGAGGGGTGTCTGGGTGTTCATTATGTCTATATTTTAATGTATCAATTATTGCTACGTTTTGGTAGTGGGTAGGGATGTATTTTTCAATGAAATCTAACATCTGTTAAAAGCGTGTTGTCTGGATTTTTTAAAAACTTTATTCTTAACTGCAAAAATTCTTACGGCATTTTTTTCCTTCGTATATTT